GACAGCGACGTATGTTTCAATTTTTTTGAAACAGTATCAAATATTTTAATTAAATTATTGCTAAGAGTTTTGAATTAAATAAATTTCCCAACTTCAGGAATAACTAATAAATTTCAATAAAACTCAAAATTTCAATTTAAATTAGAAGTTAAATTAGAAATTGCTGCTACTTTCTGACGAAATTTTGGTAAAATAATTTTTACTAAATAACAAAGTAAGTAGTTGCAAGTTTAGAAGCGACTTGAGACTTTTTTAAAACAATCTTAAATAATTTTAGAATAATTACGAATTAAATTAGAAAACACATATTTTCTGATTTTCACAATTATCAAAAAAAAAAAAGTACTAGCCCCGGCTTTGCCTTGGCAAACTTTTTAATTATCTATTATTTAGTTTTTTTTTGTATCTATTTTAACCTACGTTTAAAAATTTATAAAATCAATAGCTGAAACTTTAGAAATACTAACTTAATATGTTTTCTCCAAAATTTCATTTTTTACAAATTTACAAACTTTTTTAAGTTTAATTTGGTTTTGCAATCAAAATAATTTTAGCACACTATTTAAAAAGTTAAAATCATATCGTCAATAAAATTTATGATCAAAGTTGCTTGTGATTTGTATAATTTTTATTCTGTACATTATCCATTGCTGCCAACTTAATTTTAAAGTCGTAGGAAATAAAAAAAACCTATTGTGTCTCAGCCGCCAACTTGATATTTTCCACCGAAAATAGAAATTTTTCCACCCCCCTCGAGGGCGTATCTAGAAAATGGCGGTACTTCCTCCTTATATCACAAATATTTCCTTGTCTCATGCATATTTAACAGGTACCAGCTTCCTTCTCTATTCGCCGATGTCTCACTCCGTCTTAAAGACCCTCCCGTCGTCTCCGTCTCTCTCGCACTACCGCTTTAGATCTCTTTCTCTCTTAAAGGTGGAGGAGTTTTCTTTGTCTGCAGAACTGAGATTCGCCCATTTTATATTATATTGATTTAAGATGGCGGTGGAGCGGATTCGTACTTGTTTCCGCGGCACCCTACGATCATTCCATCTTTATTACCAAGGCGTAAGGCGAGCGCAAAAGCGAGATGAAAAATAAACACGCGCTGTAAAACATCAAGAAGGTTAAGGGTAGATTATTCAACCACGTTAAAGTTTTAGAATATATTAAAGCAGTAATCTCGAGTCACAGGAGTTGAATTTCCATGCTAAGTTAGATTAATACCTCGGAGAATTTACAATTTACGTGCCTATGTCATTATTTATGCCTGAAAGCTTCTTGAGAGATGTGTAATTTCAAACTTGACTCAACTAAGATTAGCGTCTGTGCGTGTATTCGAGCGAAAACTCCTTTCAAACACATGAACGAAAAAGATAAATATCGATCAAGACAGCGGTTTCCATAATAATGTGCTAGAACAAGCTAATGTAAATTTCCGCATCATTTTCCACGATTTTCGCCCTTAAATTCAGAGGAAAATTGGCTGAAATTTGCATAAAATTTTGCGAAATATGCTCCAAGTCTAAGATGTGTTGTCTTAACGAAAATGCACGGCCAACTTAATATAAGATATTTGCATTTATATTGAGTTATGGTAGAGTGTGTTCTATGCTACCAAGTAATAAGGCTAATATTAGTTTATCTGTGGCCGGTTTACTTTGGACATGTTGTATATTGCCCCAAGTTAGTGGCAATATTGTTTGTTTATTATCAAAGACTTGCGATAAGAAAATTGGAGATTGAAAAACGTCTTATCACATTTTTAGTTATTTTTAATCGAAAATTAGAACATTCTTAATAAAAAATTACGTTTTTAGGTAAAATTACATAAAAAGCAAAATATTTAAACTCTCCAAATACTACTTCAAAAATATTCTGAAACAATTTTTTAAACATTTAAATAAAAGAATAGAAGTTACTGGAAAAAATGGCTAGTAGCCATTTCACCTCCTAATAATAAAAATAGATTGTAGAATTTTTCTTCCAATATAAATAATACAGGGTGTTTTCTTAAAATTGTGATAAATTACAACCACAAGTTTTACATCGAAAAATAACACTTATAAACGACAGTTCTATAAAGCTTCGCTACAGATATACGGGGTGATAAAGTTTTATAATTAACATTAAAATCCTCCAAAACCACTTGAGTTATTTTTATAAAATTCTAAAAGCGCTTATACATTAGATAATTTTTAATTAACAGTTTTAAATAAAAAAATCGTAAATAATAAATACTTATCAATATTTTTTTTTCTTAATATTGCAAAAAATGCAAAAATAAAAATACGCACGCCACTCTTGACAGCAGAGATAAAGTAATTGCCGAGAAATAAGCCCTTTCAATGTCCCACTAAATTAAAAAAAAAATAACAAGTGGTTTCGTAAAAACAAAATTAATTTTTATCATAAAACCTTGTCACCCTGTGACGAAGCTTTAACGGATTATAGTTTATTTGACAAATTAATGTAATTTTTGATGTATAACTGTAATTAGCAGTTTTAAATAAAAAAAAATCGTAAATAATAAATACTTATCAATTTTTTTTTCTTAATGCAAAAAAATGCAAAAATAAAAATACGCACGCCACTCTTGACAGCAGAGATAAAGTAATTGCCGAGAAATAAGCCCTTTCAATATCTCACAAAACCACTAAATTTAAAAAAAGTAACAAGTGGTTTCGTTAAAACAAAATTAATTTTTATCATAAAACCTTGTCACTCTGTATATCCGAAACGAAGCTTTAACGGACTATAGTTTATTTGACAAATTAATGTAATTTTTGATGTAAAACATGTGGTTGCAATTTTACGCAATATTAAAAAACACCCTGTACCTATTTGTAATTATTTTAAATAAATGTCTCACAAAACTTTAAAATAATTACTTTAAAGTTATTTTTATGATAATTATTTAAACATCAAATACATTCTAAAAGAATTTCTAATCTAAAATATTTCAAACATAGAATTTGAATTTACTAAGTCAAGAACAACCGAGGCGCAGCCGAGAATATTAGTCATTTTATTTTCTAATAAGTAATAAAAACTAAGTAAAAAACATTTAATAATTTAATTTTTAATTTCTGTAATTGCGAATTTTAAGAATTATTCAAAAAACAAATAGGGTAAGTAAGGAAGAAATTAACTACATTTCGAAAAACCTGCTGTAAAATTATGACTTTTATTTCAAGTCAAACCATAAACAACTTATAAAATGACGCTTATCTCTTTTTTTCTTAATTTTTCCTGCATTTGTTTTTAGCTTCTTTTTTTGTATTTGTAACTTTTTTTTCAATGTCAATTGTAAACATGTTTTAAGCTCTAAAATACACGAAATTTCTAACAAAACACTAAAAAAACGAAACAAAAAAAATAAAACAATGAAATAATAATAAATAATAAAGTTAACATTAGGTCAACAAAAAAAAATGAACAGAAACGACTTTTTAGATTATCTTACCAAACATTTACACATTTATGTATTTAGTCGTTTGTTTCTTTACTTTATTACTATTTTTTTTAAAGACGCAGCAATACATATCTATTATGTACTTACAAAAATAAAAAGTTCAACAGTGTTTCAAAACTCGCGCCCCAAAAAAAAATTCCAGGTAAAATAAGATATCAGAAACATAGAAAAAGATGAAAAATGTTTAAAAAATTCTATCTGTTAAAAAATTTTGACATTTGACATTTTTTATGTATATTTAATGTTACTGATGATTTTGTATGTTTTTTCATAATTATTAAGAAAGGCTAGAAAAATTTTGCTAATAAAAGCCACAAATAACGTTAAATAATGTTACATTTTAGGATCAGTTTCCTTGTTTCTTCTAATAGTCTGTAGCAAAAAAAATTGGAAAATTATTTTTCCAACAAAAACAAATAGAGTCAAAGTAAATTTAAATCCTCATAACTTCAAATTTTTTATAGACTTTTTAACATTTTTTCCATATTTCTGGTATCTTACCTTTTCCCTGGGGCAGCCTGTATAATCAAAACGTTATTTCAAGCTTTTATCCCTTCAAAAAAATAATTGTACTAATAAAAGTAACATTCTCACTGCTTTATAAAATACAAGAATAGCTTGTTACTTTTGAGTCACCCTGTACATTTTCATTATTTGGTAAATTCTTAAAGAATGTGTTCTAAAAATTTTTGATCAAATTTTTGCCTAAAATACTTAATAATTTTGTATTTCACTATGAAAAATAGTTCTAGAAGAGTTCTAAGTTCTAAAGTCCAACTATCCCGAAATTTCCGAAATCACACATTTTGTAAACATTAAAGTTTATGAAACTTGACAATTTTTATATTTTTTTGTCTTAAAGTTTTTTATTGTTGCCAACTTAATTTCAAAATCGTAGGCAACTTTAATCAGAAATCTAATTAAATATTTCTAAATAATCAATAAAAAAAAAGAATTTTGAAATATCTACGCTGAAACATAAGGAAATAGGAAAACCTTTTTTATTATTTAACTTAATTATTAATTCTGGGAGTTTTGTTACTTAGATTATTGGTTTATAATTTGGTCAATTATCCAGTTTCCCGGCTGATCTCGCACCTAATCGATGCTGAAATCGTCCATTTCACGGCCTAGCGCCTGAAAAAGCCCTCAAAATCCGCAAAAAAGCTCCCGGCGATAAAAAGCTGTAAAAAGCTCGACAAACAAGTTAATTAAAAGCTCTTTTCCCCCATCCGACGATTAATTAATTGTTTGTCGAGCTCGTGTAAAAATCCGGCCCGATTACCGCAAACAACATTCCTGTTTTCCACTGTGTTTTCATTCACCGGACTATAAATCTCCGGTTAGTGTTGTCTCTCTCGCACTTGATGAAGGATTTTAGGTGTCGAAGGGAGACAACAGGTAATAATAAAACAGGCAAAAATGAAAGAATCCATACGCTGAAAGGCGCATGTGTGAAAGAATAAAAACGGGGCTCTTGATGAAGCTTTTTAATTTTTTTTTCAGAGCTTCATTCACGGTGTGATGAATGGGGTTGGTGGGTGTGGAAATGTGGGACCGGAAACGGTGGTGAGTTTATAAAAATGTTTATTTTATTGTGTTCCGATTTGATTAAAACTGATTGAAAAATTGTGATTTATTTCTGAAACTATTTCAAAATTTATTGGTAACAATTTTATTTATTTAGAAAAAATCTTTTCGTCCTTTTAGTTTTGATTAAATTGCAATAATGACAAACTATAACTAAGTTATGAAATTAGAGGCAGGAATTGAGAAATATAAAAGTTTTTTTTTATTTAGTTACTATTTTTAATCCTTAATTTCAATTTTGTTTTAAGATTTTGGTTTGTATAAAAAAATCTATATAATGTCTAGTAACTTTAAAACTTCAAAAACGTAAAATCTACCGAATAATTGTTAGATCTTTGTTTTTACATCTACGAAAAAAATCTTAAAACAATCTTAAAAAATAGAATATTAGAATAAGAATAAGTAGGCAGATAACAGAAAACTTTGTTGGAAGATTATGAAGTTTAAAGAACCTTAAAATATCAGAATCTTAAAACTCCAGAAGTTTAGGTAAATAAAGTCTTGCTAAACTTATATTACAGAATCTTGAAACAATAACGATTTAAAGATTGTGATCTTTACAAATTTAAAATGTTTAAATTTTAAATCTTAAATAACATTTTAAAATAAATATCTAATGAAATCTTGAAACCATAATTTTTGTGTATTTGTTTTTTTCATTAGAGTGAGTTGACAAGACAAGTGTTTCAAGATTTTGTTGAATATTGCAAATATTTAAAGATGGCCAGAATCTTGAAATTTAAAATAAAATTCTAAATTCTCTAAAACGAGAGATTAAATTTTTGATTAAAATAAAATAGACACGTTGCAAAATCTTAAACCATTAATGAAGTTTAAAACATTAGAATAATTAGTCTTAAAATTTATTCCTTAAATTTTTAATAAAATCTTAAAACTTAAAACTTGCAAATTAGTTTCGTTTTTCAAGGTGAGTCAACAATGAAAATTTTTGTTTAAAGATTTTGGAAATTCTAAATCTTGGAATTTAAACACTTTAAAATATTAGAATCTTAAAACCTCGGAAGCTTAGGTAAATAAAATCTACTTAAGATTAAATTACAAAATCTTGAAAAGTGTAGGTATTCTTTACAATTTTGAAAAGTTTAAATCTTGAATCTATTGAAATCATAATTTTTCTGAAGTTATTTCTTATTTTCTTAAGGTGAGTCAACAATATTAAACTTTGTTTCAAGATTTTGTTGAATATTGTAAATATTTTAAGATGGCTAGAATCTTGAAATTCCAAAGATGTATAAAATTTACAAAATCTCTAAAGCCAGAAATTGATTAAAATAAATAAACACAATACAAAATCTTGAAACGATAAATCTCTGCAATCTTCAATCTTTAATAATAAAATTCTGAACTAGAAATTTTATGAACTCATTAAAAACCTTAATAGATTGAAAGCTTTGCGATCTTGAAACGTTCATTTCTTAAATCTTGAATTTTGGAATAATAAAAAACTAGCACTACAATTTTGTGGATTTATTCCTCTTTTTTTCACGCACAGCCGACAAAAAATTCAGGATTTTTAAGATTTCATTATTTAAATCTTAAAAGTGTGAATATTTTTTCACAAACATGATGCACTTTGAAAAGACGAACCTACCCTAGCAATTACTCCAACCCTTATCGCCCCTTTCTGATCAAAATTCAGTCCTAAAACCACCCCCAACTGCAACTAGTGACTAAATCCACCTCTATTTTCAATAAAAATCAAAATTTTTGTCTTGGTGGTTTAATTTAACAGCCATAGGGGAGGTTCTTGCAAGGATTAGCGTAATATTCTCTCTCCGGTTGAGAGAGAGATCTTTCCCTTTTCGCCGTTTGTAAACTGGAACTTTGCCAATTTAAATGATAAAACGATACTATTAACTTAGTGGGGGAGAAATACAATAAATTATACAAGATTTTACCTAAGGTTAAGTTAGTGAATGTAATACAGGACGAAACCTAAACCATTAAATTTACGAACGCCATTATGCCCTTTAAGACTCTGCTATTAATGAAAACGGCCAACGTTGCAAATAAGGTACTAGACGCCGGAATTTAGAGCACACACAGGTTTTATGTGTTTTAGACCTAATTGAAGGGATACGAAACGACGAGGGAGAGGGATTTTAAACACAATCTGATTCTCAAATGAGAAATTGATTTTTTGCCACCGGATTTGACTAAGTTCATCATTTAAGAATAAAAATAGAAGATATAGATAGACCTTTTACAAAACAAACAGAATTGTTTTTTTAACAATTTTTTTTCTAAATCGATTCTGAGAAGAGAAGTGTAACTTTCTGTAGTTTTATTTATAAAAATGCTCAAAATGATGATCTCGTCTCAAAATTTGCTAAAAAACAGTTCTACAAAATAAAAATATTTATAATAAAAGGGTATAACAGAAAAAGCTCGGCTTAGCCTCGGCTAGTAACCAGTCTGTTTCGTTGTTTGTCTTATAATTAATCATTAGTTGTAATTTTTTTAATCAATCAATATACTATACATACCCATTTATAATAAAAAAATATAATACCTAATATAAGTAAAAAATATACAGGTAGATTCAGTTAAAACCAATCAGAAACATACTGGTAAAGCAAAAAAAATTACAGTTTTTTTCGATTAAGGCAAGATTCCAACTGAGAAAATTCAGTCGAATTATCCCAATTTTATCTATTTTTGTAATAAAATAATAGCATAAAATTGAATTAAACGTTTGTAGAACAATTGTTTTAAACTATTTTGTGTCTCTGATAAAAAATAATACAAAAATCATAACTGCTAGGCTCGGCTGCGCCTCGGCTAGCTTCTGCTATTGTGACAAACTAAAAATAAACAAGACATTATTTTATTCGATATACCTACAGAGTAGTTCAAAACTTTGTTACAAAAATTTAGTTTTTAATGTGTACGTAATTTTTGAGTCTTTCTGTGGATAGGTAGATAAACACTAAAATTTTCCAAAGTTCAAATAATGTTTGTTTTTTATTTTTTCCAGACTGAATCTTGAATTTTATTATGATTTTGGGACACAGAAAAAGTTTCTCAAAATTTGTGTCAAAATTAAAAATTAAAAAATTAAAAAAAAACACCAATAACAATCTTATGTTAAATTCGACAAAAAGACAATAGATAAAGCTTTTAGAAAATAAAAAATATTTATATTATACTTTTCTTTTTTGTTTTAACTTTAGTACTATAATAAAAGCTAGCCAAGGCAAATCCGAGCTGTCATTGCATTTTGGTCTCTTATTTATTTAACACAAAAACAATGTGGCTCAAGACAGTAACTTTTAAAAAGTACGAATTTTTTAATCATCCTGTAGACACTAAATTATTATTTTATTTAAAAAAATAGACAAAATTTCTAAACTTTAACGTTTTTATTTTTCCAAGACTAATTTTTTGTAAATCTTGACTTTTATTATCATTTTGACAACAAAATTGTAATTTCTTGCAGTTTGAGTCAAAATCGGTGTATTTTTTTACATGTTATTGTTAACAAAAGCACTAAAAATAACGACTTTATGTCAAAATAAAAACAAATATGATGTGTTTGCAATGTTTTTGTTATTTTAATTAAATACAGTAGAGTGTGATAGCCGAGGCTACAAGTTAGCGTACCGTGAGATCAAGGGTGGTCATGGATTTGAAAATAATTGTCGTAGATTATGTCATCGACGCTGTCAGTTGACAGAATTATTTCAAAAAGATGATATAAGCAACGACAGGCGTTTTCCATTCCATGACCACCCTTGATAAAGATTTTTTTTTTCTTTATTTACCAGAGATACAGTGGCAGTTATTAAAAATTTGAGTTAGTTTCTAAAGTACGCAATTTTTAAGTCATCCTGTATACAGGGTATTCGTTTTTCTCCACCATGGGAATCTCAGTTATTATAAGAGATACGAGGTCGGTTAAATTAAGGCAAAGTTGCACATTTTTATGCTGAACAATAATCTGAAAGAAAATTCAATGTGTCATTTTTAGTTTTAGAATTATTGAAAAAAAAAACGGAAATTTGTAATTTTCGTTTTTATTTTTTCAAGCGGAAACTAAAAGACCTAGACATTTTTAATTAGGACGTTCTTAAGGCACTTTTTTACAAGGAATCTAAATCTATCATTGTATTTTCCAAGGCGCTCTTAATATCATGGTCACAAAACTCAACTTTGGATTTTCTTATGGACGCCATATTTAATTTCTGTATTTTTTAAAAGTCTTTTTGTTTCTGATTACAACGATATATTACACGATATGATAAAATTTTACATGCTGATTAAAATTAGAAAAAAGCGTCTTTGCGAAAAGTGCTTTGGAAAAAACGCCCACAATTTTAATTAACAAACTAATTTTTGAAGGTGGTGCATTCGAGCATCTTTTATAACCTTGTGTTGTTTTCTTTTGCGAAAAATAAATTTTAGTTTATCACGTGTTCCTATTTCAAAACTCAAAAATTTATAAATTTCCAACAGATGAAATTTTAATGTTCAAACCGTTATAAATAAATATAGAGTTTTTTAAATATGTTTCCGCAATATCTTATAACTTTAATAAGCTATACAGGGTGCGCCAGAACTCGCGCCCCAGAGAAAAATGCCATATAAAGTCAGATACCAGGAACATGGAAAAAAAATATCTATAAAAATTTCGAAGTTATGAGGGTTTAAAGTTTGCACTTAGACTCTATTTATTTCTGTTAGAAAAATAATTTTCCAAGTTTTTTTGCTATAGGCTATTAAAAGGGGAAACAAGGAAGCTGTATCTTAAATTGTAATGTTATTTGTGGCTTTTATTGGCAAAATTTTTGTCCCTTTACTAAATAAATGTAAAAAAACGTATACAAGATCATCAGTATCCTTAAATAGATATAAAAAAATGTCAAATGTCAAAAAATAAATGTCAAATTTTTTGGACAGATAGAATTTTTTAAACATTTTTTTCATGTTCCTGGTATCTTACCTTACTTGAAAATTTTCTCTGGGGCTCGAGTTCTGGCGCACCTGTATTTCTCTATATTATCAAAAAAAATGTAAAAATAATTTTGGTGTTCCCTTAAGTAGGTAAGCTTGACGGAAATGTGACTAAATTCAACTGAACTGTCAAAATCTAGTTTATTAATTAAACTTGTTGGTGTTTTTTCCAAAGCACTCTTCGTAAAAACGCTTTTTTTAAATTTTGATCAACATGTAAAATTTGATCATATCGTGTGATACATCGTTGTAATCAAGAACAAAAAGACTATTCAAAAATACAGAAATCGAATATAGCGTCCATAAGAAAGTCCAAAGTTGTGTGTTGTAACTCTGATATCAAGAACGCCTTGGAAAATACCATGACAGATTTAGATTCCTTGTAAAAAAATGCCTCAAAAACGTATTAGTTTAAAACATCTAAGTTTTTTAGTTTTCGCTTGAAAAATAAAAACGAAAATTGCAAATTTCCATTTTTTCCAATAATTCAAAAACGCCACATTAAATTTTCTTTCAGATTATTGTTTAGCATAAAAATGTGCAACTTTGCCCTAATTGATTGTATCTCTTATAATAACTAAGATCTCCATGGTGGAGCTCGAAAAACGAAGACCCTAAAATTTCTAACTTTTTTCAAGACTTAATTTTTGGTAAATAAATCATCCAAAATTCTAATTTTTTTGAATATCTATAGAAATGGGTTTAGCCAGCCTCGCAATTTGTTTTCGTTTTCGTAAAAAAATTCGTCGTAAGCCTTCTAGATTTTTTCATAGCAAAATGGTCTTTATCGTCCCTTTGTATAAGACCCTCCTCGCACGGTTCGTCTGCAAAGTGTTAACTCAATATCCGCGTTGTCTTAAGTTTTCTATGTAATTTGCATGGAAGCCATTTTGAAAGCTCAGTGGAAGTGTGCGTTGAAGGGGGAGTCGTGTCCGGGGTAGGAGGTAAGAAAGAGACGGCCAGATATTTCCCTCTATAATATATCCCGTTTTTGGGGTGGCGGTGCGGTGGGTGGGTTCAGGGGTGGCTTTATTTTGGGGGAGAGAGAGCTCAGGTTCGCTCTAAGGAAATTACATAAACCTTAAGTAAGCGAGGCTGACGCGGCGGAGCGCGCGGGGCTGTCAGGGTGAAATTCCGAATATTATGATTAATTATGCGCCACCGCTTGCTTCGATACACTTTATTCGCACTGTGTATGTATATATATTGTAAACTGATAAGGTTGCCGACGCCATTTTGTAACTTGGAACGAAGAAAAACGACACCCTTATATGCCAGAAATGGTGAAATGATTGTTATCTAGATGCCGCAGGAAAGACGCAATTAATCGGGGAAGGAAACTTCAAAGAGATTGTTTGCGTAGATTAGGGTATTTTTAAGCCTTGAGAAATTAATTTTGAATCAACTGTTTAGTTCAATAAACAATAGTAATAATTTTACAATAAAAAAAAAGTAAAAACATCGATAAGATGTAAATTTGCAAACACATTAGAAATCAAATGTTTAATTGGTGGTAATTTTTGAAATTTCCTGTATGAGTTTTAGACAAAATTGTACTTGTTTTCAAACTACATCATGTTTGATTAAGTTTTCAAAATTTGTTATTAATATTTCTTTATTTTTTAAATAATTAGTTATTTTTTAAAAACATAACTGAGTCACTCTGTAGAATTAAAATTTAGGAAAAATAAATCAAATCAAAATGTGTATGTGTATGTGTATTTTTCACTTCTTGAATACGGATCTTAAATTTTTACCAATAAATTTAGAAAAAAAAAATTATTTAAAAAACCTACACCAAAATTATAGACTTAACGGTTGTCTTACATAAGACACTCTATACGTCTTTTTAATTTTTTAAACGTTATTTATTTAAGTTTTCTAACAAGATACAATAAATACAAAAATTATTGACTTTTAATAGAAACAAGAGTTAAGACGTTTTGCCTGAATCACTGCATTTTTTATACTTGTATTTCAATTTCATTGTTTCAACAATAGTAGTAATACCAGACATTTTACCTAAGACACCTTGTACATTTTCCATTTTCAATATTTTACAAATTTAGAAACAAGGTTTCTAACTTACAACATAAAAAGCATTATTTTTGATAAAACAGAACTGAGTCACCGAGTTACCCTGTAGATATATATAAAAATCAACCCATTGAATCAAAACAAAATAAACTTTTTCACTTCTCAAATATTTCAAATTTTTATCAATAAGTTAAAAAAAAAGTTTTTATTTATTCAAAAATTACATCAAAAGTAAAACAAGCAAAGGTCGTTTTACATGAGACACCCTATACGCCTTTTTCTAATTTTTTAAACGTCACCATTTTCCAACAAGATATAAAACATATAAGTAATATAAAAATTATTGACATTTAATAAAAACACGAGTTGAGATGTTTTTGCCTGAAACATTCTGTATTTTTTATACTTGTTTTTCAATTTCATTATTTCAACAAAAGTAGTAGTAATACCAAAGACATTTTACCTAAGACACCTTGTACATACATTTACCATTTACAATATTTTACACACTTAGAAACAAGGTTTGATTTATTTAGAAAATACGTCAAAAATACATATTTGATAAAACTAGCAGAGTCGTATTACGTGAGACACCCTCTATACGCTTTTTTTTCATAATTTAAATACAATTTATTTCAATTTTTTTAACAATACGCTTAGTAATAAATACAAAAACTGTTAGTATGAATAGTAGCAATAGTGTAACCTCGAGACGTCTTGCCAGAGAGACTCTGTATTATTTTTTGTACATGTATTTTATACAGTTTTTTTAATAAACTTAAAAGTAGTCGTATGTTTTTTATTCATAAAAAGATACATATTTGGCTGACAACTACGATACAAATAGCAAAAAAACGTCGTACCTGGGACATTTTTTAAGTCTTAAATATGTTTTGCAATTTTTTTTTTAATAAAATACAAACTAGTTATAACCATAATTTTTGTCAAGGTTTTAATTGGTTTTTCATCATAAACCATACTTTAACTTATTTATTTTAATTCAACCGGTTTTCATTTCGGTTGTAACCGATTGCGATTTTGTTTTTAGCCAAACTGGTTTTCGAATGAAACAAACTCAAACTGGTTTTAAAACAGTAAAATGACCATTTTGGACCACTTTTAGGTTTAAATTGTTTGTATTTTTTTATTTTAAAGTTTTTGAGAGCGTTGTGTTTGTAAAAAAGAGTCCATTAATATTGCATTTTATCAAAATTTATTTTTCTCCCACTTTTGAAAAACTTCTAATTAGAAAAACTCAATCTAAAATACTTTAAAAAAAGGCGTAGACAAAACACAAAAATACAATTTGTAACTTACTAAAATTTCTATAAAAAATATCATTGTTTTTTGTTATTTTTGCAACCATTTTTTCTACATTAATAAACACAACATAAAAATCGTTATTTTTGATAAAACTAAGCAGTTTTAACTGAGTCACCCTGTAGGTAAAAAATCAACCAATTAAAACAATTCAAGCTTTTTTCCAGGTCACATTAATTGACCCCTTCTCCATTTGTTAATTTCTCCAATTGATAAATCAACGATGTAAACACATTGAGCCATTTATCAATTAAAATGGCATTTGGGGTACTCATCCTGCTTGCATTCCTTGTTCCCGGAGCTTTCCCGGACATCAGAGTGGCCATCGGAAATTGCAGTAAGTTTCAAACTTTCAAAAAAAAAATTTTTAATTTTTTCTAGGTTATTACTGGTCTTTATACAAGGAAACAATTCCTTCAGATGCTTATCTAGGGGGTGTGACTCCTTCTGGCGAATTATTTTTCATTGCTCTCGTCCAATTAAAACTAATCAATGAGATTTTCGCTGGAATGCTTCTTGAAAAAACACAAACGACCCGAATTACGTCTTTAGGACTGACCAAAGAGATCAAAAATGACCCCTTTACTGTTGTTAACGTAAGTCTTATTCGACATATTTCTAATTAATTTCTTTTCAAAAATTGTAGATTTTGCGTTCGCAAGATCCAAAAGCTTTCAAATGGGTCAAAACAAAAAGTGAAGATTTGGCCCTTGTGAGCAATTTGGTCAACGGGGGCAAAGTTCTAGGTCAAGATTTATATATAGGAAGAATCATAAAAGACGGAGGATCACTACTAGGAAAGGTTTTTCCACACAAATTTATTTATCAGGGACTGTATGTGCCACAAGAGGGCGTTTTTGCACAGTTTATGGAGTATGAAGTTTTGACGTTTAATTGTGACTATAAGAGAAAAGGTCAACTAAGCGAGATGTAATTTTTATTTCTTAAACACACTGTAGAAGAAAAATGAAACACTATTTTAACTTAGTGCGAAACACCAGAAACGTGTTACCTGAAACACTCTGTGAATTTGGTTTTTTATTGAGTATTGTATTTTACTTCATTTATTTAACAGTGCCTTTAAAAACAAGAAAATATTTATAGTAAAAGTAAGAAAAAACAATGTTTCATCTGAATCACTCTGTAGGTACACTAATTTAAATTATTCAAACTGTATTTAGCAATTGTTATTTCAAACGTCCAAAAATCTACCTAATCTGAGACATTCTGTAAATTCGTTTTTTTATTTAGCATTAAATTTAAAAATTCATACAAGAAAGTATTCTCGCAAAAAAAAGAGAAAAAAACGTCTTCTTTCAATCACTCTGTATTTTCATTGAAATTATTCAAATGTGTTTTTAACTAAAAATTTTAAGTTTAATCGTAAAAACGACTAATAGTCAATTCAATTTGACATTCTTATGTGAATCACTCAGTACATTAGCTTAAATTATGTAAACTTGTTTTTTTTTCAACAATTTTCAAGTTTAATAATAAAAACGACTAAAATTCAATTTGAAATGTAATTTTTGAATTCTGTGGAAAAAAATATAAACAATAAAAACAAAAATAAAACATATTTTGTCTTGGCGTAAACAATCTACCATCCCAGAAACGTCTTACTTGAGACATTTTTTAAAGTCTTGATTTTTAATACTGTATTTAAGAGTAAATTTAAAAATTGTGGGTACAAGACTGATTTAAATTATTCAAATTTATTTTTCTTTGAGCAATTTTTATGTTTGATATTAAAACGTCTAAAATTCAATTCGAAACAACTTCTTTGGTGAAATTTCCCCTTTGTAAGCTTTGTTCCCTTCAAGAAACAGGTCTTGGAGAAGTGTGCGGACTTAATGACCCCATTTCTTGACCATAACTTGTATAGCCCAAAGGTTGGGGATCTCTAATGTTATTTTCCCTCAATGGGTTAACCTGTTCTTGAAGCGACTTCGATGAAATTGCATTAAAGTGTCCACAGGGCAAAGGGTTGAACCGCGTTTGGATGTCTTATTCACCCTTTCTGGAATTTCGAGATTTTATTTCTAGATACGTGAGAATTGTTACTCGTTGAACTTGTTTTTATTTATTATTCGTTGAATTGTAATTGAAATCGAAACTTTGACGAAACTAGATTTCATGAGAAACCTTCCAAGGGACAAAAAAGCTCTTTCAAACGGTCAAAAGGGATTTTGGTAATCTAGAGCTTACTTTAGTGTTTTATTTATTATTTTGTTTTAAAATCCTTATCTGATAAATAAATACAAAAAAAAAACAATTAAATACGACAACTAGGTACTAGCCTTGACTAGCTTTCTCTATTATATTTTTTTTTAATTACAATAAAACTTCATATTTTTTTATTTTAACAATTAACAATATTTTGAACTAATGTTAACTAATGTTTTAAATTTAGAACAATAGAAAAAACTAACCGAGGCGAAGCCGAGTTAATATGTGTTTGGTTATTTTACTAGAAGTATAGTGCGATCAAAAAGTCTTTCTATCAAGTAGGCGTTCTAGTTGAGAACGTATGTTGCATAGCAGTTCGTATGTTATCTAGATGTCATAAAATTATTTTAGTAAAATTAAAACATTGAGCTAATTAAATTGAATTATTCTATGAAACGTCTCAAAACAAACTAAAATAAGATTTTGTTCGTGTTTATTCATAAAAATCGTTCACCACGGTTTCCTGTCATAACTTACATAAAAATTATTTTGACATTTCTCATTTGTCATTGTGACATTTTATCTTCCACAGACATACGTTTTAAATTTCTACGCTTGCTTGATAAACAGACTTTTTGATCACACTGTATTATTTTAGCATCAAAGATACAATGCGGTACAAAATATTTAGAAGAAAAGTATATCATTTTTCAGTCACTCTGTAGACGTTTTACGTTATTTCATACTCCCAAATTTTTTTTTTTAAACATTAGGTGAACAAGTATAAAAGCAAGTGTGTTTTTTTTGCAGTTATCTGCTGCAAATAATTAATAAAATTTAGAGTGATATAAAAATGTGATCGTGTATTAAAAATAAAATTTTGTTTTGTTTTTAAATTATGAGTTTTTTTTCATAAAAAATAAATAATATGTAGATAATTGTAATCCTTATATCAAGGTCAGAAAAAAAAGTTTTATGGAAGATTGCTATTTGAAAAAATTAAACATTTCGCAAAACAAAACAAAATTTTATCATCAGTTTTTGCAAAAAATAAACAGTTCAAGCAAAAAACGTTTGGTTTCATGTGATTTTAGATGAGTCATCCTGTACAAAAAATTTTAGAATCTAAATTATGAACTATAATATATAATGTGATTCTTTTGATAAAACTCAAACAATTTTAGCTGATATTTATTCTATACACAGGGTGGTTCAAAAGTCTGGAAACGATTTTATTCGGGCGAAACTAAATTTTTTTGGCAAAAATATTTATAGGTGTGCAATGGCTATAAAAATGCTATTCAAAAAAAAATTAAATATTAATTAATTGTTTACACTTACGAGATATACATAGTAACAATTTTTTTTTAATGGAAACCTACCACAATTTGTATTTGTTTTTTTTTTTTAAACCTCACACTTTTTTGTTAAAACAATGTTTGACTTACAAAGATTAAAGAATTTTTTTGAGTAA